CTTTTCTTCCAATAATTTCTTCAGATCAACAGAAACCTTTATTTTCTGACGAATCAAAGCAAAATAAAGTCCAAACGACCCGGTTCTGTTTCCTGTCAGCTGAATATTTACAACTTTTTACACTTTGACTTTACAAAAAGAACCTGGTCCAAAACCCGCCTGAGGATCCACTCAGAACCAGAACCAGAACCACAAACCTGCTTTTTACTGAAACTAATTCTCGTGGATTTAAATCAGAACCTCAGCGTCAGATGGTTCTGTGGAGGTTCTGTAGAGGTTCCGTAGAGGTTCCGTAGAGGTTCTGTAGGTCCAGAATTGCTTCTTGTCTGTGGAATAAATACGGGTCAGACCCACTGATCCGGACTCTTCTGAGTTCATTCACAGCCGGTTCTGTTCAAAGTCTCACAGCAAAAAGAACTTCTGTCCTCGTGGTCCTTCGAACAGAACCCCTCATCAGTTCTGTGGAGGTCCGGTTCTGACGGGACACGTACCAGGTCCGGGTCCAGCCTGAGGACTTGGGTTTGTCTCAGTTCTGCTCAATCTGAGCCAGAAAAAAAAAAAAAGACATTCCTCGGTCAGACCGGGTCAGGAGTCCAAACTGACCCGTCCAGAACCGGTGGACATCACAAGGTGTCGGAGCTGTTGCTGCAGGGACTGATCAGGCCCAGGTTGGACCCGGTCTTGTGCTTCTTTAAGAGTCTCGTGATCTTCTCGTCGTCGGAGTTCGGGTCCAGAGGTTTGTTGTAGTCGTCGTCGTCCTCGTTGTCAGAACTTTCCTTCATCTTCTCCGTCTCCGAGTCGTGCTTCTTCTTGGCCGAGGCCATCTCTGCTGCGTGCCTCTTCCTCCACTTGGTCCTCCGGTTCTGGAACCAGACCTGTTGGACCGCAGGGACACAGATGCTCAACAGGCCCGGCTGCTTTACAACAACAACAACAACAATCAGTAGCTGTACCTTGACCTGGCTCTCGGTCATCCCTAAGGAGTAGGCCAGCCGGGCCCTCTCTGGACCTGCCAGGTACTTGGTCTGCTCAAAGGTTTTCTCCAGAGCGAAGATCTGCTGACCGGAGAAGGTGGGCCGGGAGTGYTTCTTCTTCCCGTCTTTGTCCACCATGACCCCACCCTGAACTGAGACACAGCAGCAGGATTATTATTTAACTTTACCAAGAGAAACTGATTTAAAACTTATTTTAAAACTGTAAATAAAACACAACATTTCACAAATGTGTCTGAGTATTTATATTATTTTATTACATTTACTAGAGTTATTTAATTAAGTTTATTTATATAGAACCTTTCAGAAACATAAAATCATAAATCACATAAAAT